CCTTGTTAACTGCACTGCCGGTAGTCGATGTTGGGTCGGTAACTGTTTACCGCTCTCGAAATGGATACATAAATTGTCAACTGATTTAGTTTTTGTGCGCAAGAAATTACTTCAAACAATAGAATTAAATAGTTGAAAAGATATGGACTCAAGCGAAAACTGATGCGGCCATTTTCTTGAGAAATCCTATCATTTCAAATAGACAAAGATTGAGCACCACCTCTTCAAGGTTATATTGAATTGAAAGTCAAGAAATAAATTACATCGTTTACATGAAAATGAGCCGTTGAGCGTGAAAATATTCTAAACATTCACTCTTCAATTAGCACTGATCGCATCGGTTCGTTCGAAACAACAATCTTCGAGCATAAAACCACTGTTGAGTCAATGCTGTTGTCGACACTAAAATGAATGGAATTTTGCAGAAAATTCCACAAAAATATGATTTGTGTGCGTCATTGAAAGGAATAAATGAACGAGCGAGCGAGCGGACACGCGCATCCAACAGACACCGACAATAAAGAATGAAAAGAAATATCGCGGCAAAATGAAATTATTGGCGTCTTGACGGGGCACACGAAAAACACCATCAATTCACATGAAATTAAACATTCAAACATTCGACATTGTTCATCTGCAGAGCAACATAATTAAAACTTTATAAAATATAAATAATAAAGTTTCGCCGAATTAGCCAAATTGAATGAAAAGACGATAGACGACGGCTGCACGTGTCCGGCCGAACTCTCTCTCTCTCTCTCTCTCTCTCTCTCTCTCTCTCTCACACACACACATACACACACACATACACGTAAACAATGTCATGGTCATTGTGGATTATGTGCTGTGGTATGTCACTTGCTCTCTATAGACTAAACCGATCAAAGTCTCGTTCATTCGTTCGTTCGGTTGGTCGATGTTATGTCTATAAACGTCACAGATGTGTGTTGAGCTCAGTTTTGTTGTTGCCAGCAATGGATTGCATGGCAATGCTTTTTAGTCGACATCACAGCACACGCGGGTATATGCCAACTTTTTGACTCGCAAACCGTCTGCCTTATTCCAATTCATTATCAAGCAGTTCTATTGTTGGCCCAACAATGTTGGGCAAAGTCAAATCACACGACGACGCCACCGCCACCTCCCATGCTGCCACCATCAAACATTGCAACACTTGTCGCTGTTTTTTTTTTACATTCATTTCAATTCGAGGAGAGTATTCCCGCAGGTGTTTATATGCCGAATAGAGGACGATGGAGAGTGAACGAGAGAGAGAGAAAGAGAGGGAAGATGACGATATATTCCAACATTCTCAATGGACAACGATAATATTTATGTATCGAACTTAATAAATTCTAATGAAATTATTCTATGGACAAGCAACAAATAGCTAATCTATTATTTCATCGCGAAAATTGAATGGCGTCGCACCGCATGAAAACGGTAGAATAGAAGAAAATTACGAAATTTATTCGACGGAAAACGGCGACGATACGTTTTTTTTCGTTCATAAGATTGCTTGCACTTTGAAACTTTCTCTGACCATTCCTTTTTGGCTGTCGTTTGAACTGCAAGTTCATTTCGCCCGTACATTTTTAGTAATTTGGTTTCTATGCCCAGTTTTTTTCTTTCTTTATAGCTATTCTTCTTTGCTTGTTCTTCTTGTGTTCTTGTTTAATATTCGTTCCCTCTTTTCTCTTATCAAGAAAATGAGCATGGCAGGAAATCACGCAGCGTCAACAATATAACAACCATTTATCTTGTTGTTGAGGTTTCACATTTTATTGAATGTCCGTTGGTTGCGAAGTTTTGCAGTTGATTGTAATTCATAGCGAATTTTCTGTATTTGAAAAACAATTTACTGCAACATAAAATTAAATTCGAAATTAAATCATTTATTCATTGTGTATTTGTGTGAGTGTATGTGTGTTGATTGGAAGCGCACTGTCAATAAGAAATGTTCATATATATATAGCTTCTTTGCCACGGAATATTATACATATGAATATTGTATACACATCCATTTGCCTAGCAGCAATGTTAGCGATGCTGACAAAGCTCGAGTCGACGAATCATTCCTTCATTTTACTGAAAAGCAACTCGGGAGACGGAAGGAATTTATTTGAGAAGAAGAAGATAACCAGCTTATGTGCTGATGTTGTCTCAGCATAAAAATCGAACAGATACCATGAATGATTTACAACGGGACATCGGCACTCAGCATTCTGAGCGGAATATTTTTTTCCATGGAATTTCAAGGATACAAGACAAGTATCTTGAATGTACGGGTACGCCTAATTTTGGCTCTATTCAAAACTCCTACGCATCTAGATGTGTACGCGTGTGCATGTTTGTGTTTGTGTGCGTGTGTAAATGATGTTTGGCATACAAAATTGAAAACTTTTACTACATTTGATTGCCGTATATCGTCTCATCTTGATATGTGTTTGCCTGCCTCTCTAATTCTCTTGTGTGTCTATCATCTTCCGTCACTGATTTGGTTTTGCTTTTTCTTGCCCTGATTTTTCTTTCTCTAGCTTACACCAGAGTAAATCAACGGCTCCGAATACGTATAAAACAGTCATGCATTAATTATTTCTTACGTGTGTGTGTGTGGAAATAATATCGACAATGATTCTAAATGTGATATCAAAACAAAAGCCCATCGTTTTTTCCCTTGTTTTCAATGGAGCGAAGCGAAACGTGGGTTATTTTTCGGGCAATGGAAAAAAAAAGAAACGAATTGCGCTATTTTCATGCCTTTTTGCATTTTGATGCGTCGAAATATAAATGAGCTGTGCAAAAAAAAACATTCGGTCGCTTCTTTTCCCTCTTCTCCAAAACATCTTCAGCCAGTTGAAATGCATGAGAAAAAAAGCATTCAAATTAAGGGCTGACATTCGGTTTTTCGCTTCACAATCAAAATGTATGCGTACTAACTCAACAGCAAAGTTCACGGTTTTCAACGGAACAGATGCAAAGATATGGATTACGCAAATATTTTTACAGAATATATACGTACAAATATAAATCGCTTCAGAGTGTTCCCATTCAGTCTGGGGTATTCATATTCAACTCCCAACTCCCGCTGGACGCCGCTTCAATTTGACTATGAACGTCAAATGACAAAGGGGAACTGGAGGGCGAAACGGAAAATTATCACCGGAATGCATTATCTACTAAGAACCCATTTGAATTCTTAATGAGACATCAGCAATATCAACAGCAGTATCATCAGCATCAGCAGCATTACTGGCAGCAATGCCTTTTCTTTATTTTTTGTGATTTGCTGCTAATTATGACAAATCCTTGAGATTTAATTCAAATGGTCGACTCATTTTCGGGCTCTTTCGTTTCAAGTGTATCATTAATCATTTCAAATATGTAAAACAGACACACACACACACATACACACACACACATCGACAGTGTATGCGTACGTGTGTTTGTGCCCCATTCAATTCATTCAAAAATGTGTTTTCCGTTGCTTTTTGTTTGAAACATGCTGCGTCTCCAAATTTAAATGCCATGAAAACTAAGCAAAAGAAAGCGAAAATTTATGCAAAAACTGGCAACAGACACGGATACCAAAGGAATGAGAGACAAGTAACAGTGTCTCTGAGCCACACACGAAAACAACCATACACGATGAAAAAAAAGGAAGGAAAAAAACTCAGCGATGGAGTATCATCTTTGCGGCACTAATCTGGTGAGCGTCATTCGAATTTTCTGCGAAATATCTTTCTGTCACACACACACACACACACACACATACACACAAATTGTGTGGTATTTTTACTTCAATTTTTCTCTTGATGTCTCTTCCTCTCCACCTTGACCGCTCATTTGCTTACAGCGAGTAAGAGATAGAGAGAGGCAGAGAGAGAAAGAGTGTTGGCAGATGAAAACACTTTTGTGACCGAGGACGATCATTGCGATGCCATGTGCTGCAAATCACGAACGAATTCTGCATTTTTATTCGTGTATTCAGACATTGTTATGCGAATGCATTTTGTGAATAAAATGTGACAGATTTCTAGTTGGTTGACTCCATTTGTGTGCTCTATCGTTCGATATCTTTTTCGCAAGCCATTTTGTGTATGCTCCTTGCTCCTTCTTCAATCCCATTATAATTTCTGCTCGCTTTTGTGTTCCGCTTATTCTAACTAATAGCTCAAGTGTTTTATGTGTTTTTCGTGCGTTTTGGTGGAATGCGCGGCAATGAGCTTTACACTTTCACTAAATCTTATGTTTCTGCTGGTTTGTCACAATGTTTTGCCGCTGCTTAGTTTCCCTTTATAATACAGCTACTCCTCTGCGTGCTCTCTGCTCTCTCACTCTGTTGCACGCGTGCAAACTATCTCTTTCTCTGTACTTTTCGTGTCTTTTGTTGAAATGACGTAACCATTGTATGATTACATGTACAATCTGCGCTCATTTTTTTTTTCCAGCGAATTTTTGTTCGGTGCAGTGTGTTCTACATTCAAACGAAAAAATTCCCGCAATACACAACAAATATGGCAACAACCAGAAACTTGTGACTTGTCCAGTTTATTGGTAGAACGTGTGCTCTTGTTGTGGCAAAACAAGAATGTTTTATAAAATAAAATAATTTGTTGGATGAATGAAAAGGAAGAGATTGGAAGAGATAGAGGATTTCATTTTATTTTTGAGCGAACAGTTATTCGCATTGGCCATAGATCATCAACGACTTGAATATTGTCTCTTGTGCACTGGTATAAATATTGTGAATCGTTTGTCATGGTCGGGGAGGAGGTAAATGTGCGCATTTCGCTCAATCGTCGCAAGTCTTTTCATCTTTCGTCAGTTTGCTCTCTCTCTCTCTCTCTCTCGCTCTCTTCTACTCCTCCTTGATCTCCTCGTTGCCGTGCGCGTTTCTATCTCTTTCCCTGGATGTGTCTTCACAACGCCAGAAGATGGTCCATCAAATAAAGTGAACGAGGAAAATACGTGATAAAGAAATATGAGATTCCACTTACCTTGCTACCGAATATTAATACCAGCAACAGTGTCACAGTTAATTGTGTATGACAGAAAAATATGATGTACAATAAATCAGGATTTGCCGGTGACTGAAGAAATAACCTGCGTGCATATTTTTTATATTAAGTTGCGTTTTTTTCGTCGACGGCGTTTTTGTATATTTCATTCGTTGACGTTGGTATCGTCGTCGTCGTCGTCAAGTTGCGTTCCGTTGTTGTTTCGATCCAGTTCCATTTCGATTAAGAGCCCGAGCGGTGTGTCATGATGAGAAAATGGGCCGGAACAAAGCATCAACACGAACAATACCGACAAAAAAGAAGAAGAAGACGAAAATCCATGAAAAGAAACATAAATGGTCGTTTACACATTAATTTTAATTGAATTTGGCGCAAGAGCTCGCATTATATTACACACACACACCGAAAACCGAAGAAAAGAAGAAAGCAAACAATATAAAAAGTGCGCATGTTCAAAAGCTGTGCAAAAACCTAACGAATCTTGATAACAAACATTAAAAATGATCCTCGATCATAAATCGGTCGAAATTTGTATCAATTTAATCAACACTGCAATAAATAGAGTCAAAGCGCATTTTTCATTTGGTTCTTTGTTGTTTTTGTTCGTATTGCGTGCGCGTTGGCGTGTCCGTTTGCGGAATGAGGAGAGAGACTTGGTGAATGATAACGACACTAGAGATTAGCAAACATTAAAATGAATGAACAGAACAGGTGAGGTTTTGTAAGTACTTTCCCCATAATCAAACCTGAATTCAACGAGAACCAACGGCAATATATTTACAGACATATACCTACAAAGCGATAAACAGGTGAAAGCCTAAAACCACACACACAATTTTTCGCTGACGCAGAAAATTATTGAACAAACGCAATTTCTTCATTCCACGAATCAATGCTGAATCAATAATTTCGTATGAAAATTTCGGGCAAATTACTAGGCAAATTACTAGGCAAATTACTTGTTTAACAATAAGTTTGGTTGTTCTTTAAACGGGCAAAGAGCCATGTGAAAATTGTATTCCTGTTACAAGATGCAAATGGGTACAAAGAACCGAATGAGTATACTAAATTTCTATCACTATCTATGATTTACATAACGGCGGAGAAAGAGCGAAAAGCGATGTTCACTCTCTTGGTCTTGTAAGTTTTCTCTACCAGTTGAGCCATGATTTAGTGTTTTATCACAAAATGTTTGAAAATTATTCAGCCGGTGGTGGGATGGGGTGTAAACGTCCAAAAATAAGAAAATGGGACGGCCATCATATTACAGTAGGCAACAACTTGGAACAAACTTTGACTTGAAGTTAATTAATAAAACAAAGCCTTGTGTGACAAAGAGTACGGTGTTCAATTGAAAAACTTTAACATTCTTTCCGAACAGAGTTTCTCTGTCTCTTGTTCTTGGTGTGTAGCATTTTTTTATTGAGCTACCACACAGCAACGTACATCGCACAATGAATCCGCTTAAGCAATTGAACAATTTTCGTCTTAATTTTGTGTGAGTTGCTTTGGGAGAATTTGTAAAATTTATCACGTAGTCGGATTAATATATTCAATTTGCCGCTTGGCTTTTGTGTTTGCCAGAAGATGCTTGATTATTATGAATGGCAACATGGTTGCGTGTGTACGATATCGTTGAGCAGCATCATGGCCGGTGATAAGATCTAAAATCTGAGCCTGATAAGAGAAAAAAAAAGAGCTCTATGTAAGTTATTTTGCCACTCATTAATATACCGACGTTATGAAAATAATGTAGGACAGAGCGTGTTATGAGCTGATGTCAGCAGCACTAACTAACGTCAGCTGCTGATATCAGCTGCTGACGAGTATGCGTTGCGTTGTTTTAACGCATTTGCAGCACAAAATTCATATTCCTGGGCTGGAATTCTAAGTCATTCCACCAAAATCGTTCGGAATTATTTTTTTCGTACATAAGACCACATTGGAGTGAAAGAGAGAGATTCCACTATTTTTCAGGATCCCACTGGAATTATTTCTCACACAATCCACTCTTCCTTGAGTTATCGGAATAATTCCGGTGGGATCCTGAAAAATAGTGGAATCTCTCTCTTTCACTCCAATATGGTCTTATGTACGGAAAAAATAATTCCGAACGATTTTGGTGGAATGACTTAGAATTCCAGCCCTGGTTTCCAAGTCAAATTTGCATGAAGAGAATATGAAATTTGAGTTGGAAACCAGAGAAGAATATGAATTTTGTACTGCAAATGCGTAAAAACAACGCAACGCATACTCGTCAGCAGCTGATATCAGCAGCTGACGTTAGTTAGTACTGCTGATATCAGCCAATAACACGCTCTGGTGTAGGACAAATGTATTCTTCTAACCATTTTTTTTTCACTTCGACTAAACGGTTTTTGTTGCCTCCGAAAGGTGTCTTTCTCTTTGCATAGTTACATTGCTAATTGATTTAATGAATGAAATGCGAGAAAGACGTTTTCTCGTGTCGCACAGCCATCATCATCTTGTGCAACAAGAAGAGGCCACAACACAGCGGCAATATCAAAATATATACTTGCGAATAAGCTGTGTTATTACGAAGAGTTGTCACCAAAATCGACATATTACATGCCGTAACTTTTCCAAGACCCCTCAATATTGACAGACACGTTGGCCATGGCACATGTCCATGAAAATGGCTCCTGTTTCTTCAGCACTCTCACTCTCTATTTCGAGTGTAAAAGCAACAAGAGTCCACTTTTGAAACGAGTTTCAATGATCAAGTGCAACTTTCTCTCACTCACTCTCTCTCACTTCATTCCTGGCCCCAGCAGTCTATTTGCTCCTTGTTAGCAAAACATTTTCGTAACCAATTTCTTTTGCCTTTCGATCAAAGGACGAAAGAGAGACTTTTCGAAATTTCAAGTTATTCCTTTGTGCGGAATATTTTCGCTTCGTTCGTATCTCTTTTCGATTTTTTTTTTCTTTTCACTCTTTCATTCACTTTCTCTCACTTTCTCTCTCTCTCTCTCTCTCTCTCTCACTCTTCCTTTCGTTTGTATATGATTGTTTACATACTACCACGCAAAGAGTGTGCTCAGAGATTTTCTATCAATTTATATTTGTTGACGAGCACTACGTTTTCAGTAGGTGGTAAAAGCGACCGTATATTTGTCAGTAGACGAACAAGTCTTTCTATTGCGTTCTTAACGACGAGAAAATAAGTCTTTTGCAAACTTTTTTTCCACTGACTTTTTCTGTGGTAAATCGAAGACAGTTACCGACGGCGATGACGACGACGGCCGGTTGTGTCTTTCACTTTTTTGCCATGCTCTTCATTCTTTTATTATCGCTTGAATTTCGTGTGGTTTTCTCCTATCTCTCTTCCTCTTCATTTTTTTTCTTCCTCCGTTGGGCCGACAAAAATCCGTCTGGCCGGAGAGTTACACCGGTTCGTCATCAAAAGAAACAGCACACAAGCACAAATAATGTATCTGCATGGGATTGGACATAAAGAACGATGATGAAGCCACGAGGCTCAATCATGAGATAGAAATACTAGGTTGAGTGTACGATAAAGTATGAAAATGTCAAGAACGTAAATAAATAAACAAAGGTGTAATCGTTATAAATATGGTATTGAAAAGGCAAAATGATGAAGATGATGTTGCAACAGCATTGATATCGGCTTCAACGACGACGACAACAGCGGCCGTGGAGGAAAATAATACGAGATGTGCAAAAATAACAAGAAAAGGTATCCCACAATTTTTCGTGGTTTTACGCTTAAATCTGTTATATATATATATATACAAACGACAGAAAGTTATATTGCTGTGAAAATGGTTCGACGCGGGCGACGTCAAATAACTAACATGCATTTCTAAATCGAACATCCATCGAAGAGAGAGAGAGAGAGAGAAAGAAAATCATTTTTGTTCTTTCCTTTTGTTCGTATTTTTCTGTCAGGAACTGACGGGCCACAGATGATTGCGATGGTCGGATGATTGTGAGGAGACGACCGAGCGACTGGCCCAGGTCTCTTTGGTATCGTAGTACGCATAAAATCGCTGTTAAAGTTCGCTGTCGAAGGCACCATCATTCACCATCCCTCAAAAACTGTCGTCATTGACCATCAAATTGCGTGTACCAAGTGCTCTGCTCTGGCTTTCCGACCATTGCCCGAAATGTGTAAACGTTCGTAAATATTCGATGTTCATCAATTTATTAAGTTTTGTTCGTGTAATTCCATCCGCGTGGATTTTTATCTCTTTCCCTCTTCCTCTCTCTCTCTCTCTCTCAACCGGGAGTTGCGGCGACCAACCACAAGGCAAAATCTTTTTTTCCTGTTGTTATTTATATACGTAGAAGTGAAAAAAAAATAAATAAATAGAAGAAGCGGGCGCTAAGGAATTTGGTGGCCATAAATAAAACGTTATGTCATGTAAAGGAAAATAAAATCTTTGGTGAATCGGATGAAAGATTTTATGTATTGACATAATTCAAACACAGGCTCAAACGATGGTCGCTTCAGTATCGTTTGATAGACGATGGAATGAACGGAATTGAAGAAGAAGAAGATGAAGTTCGACGAAAAAAGAGCACGACCACACACTGAAGAATAAACGTTTCCACGCATTATTATTCTACGAAATTAACCTCTATATGCGATTACAGAGACGTTGATCGTGTGTATGTATATAAGAGAGAAATGTATCTCGTCTCTTTCTGCGAAAAGAAAAGCGAAACGAGAAAAAAAAGGTAGCGTGAGGAGGTGAAATCCTGTGAATCTCTTCTTTTACGATTTCTTGTTGTTGAGCGAATCGGTTCAGGGTGCAGACAGCGGGTCATAAGCATTAGGCATTATATTGGTGCGCCTCTTGGGTTTGGACATTCCTTAATTTTAATTCGACTTCAATCATTGGAATGACAAGGTCGTACAAATAAACGTATATTAAATGCATACTCGAGTAGAATTTAACCGAAATGGCCCGTCCAAAAAAAAGAAACCAACGCACGAACAGCAAGTGTACGGCAATTTATTTGTGAGTTTCCATTGGCATTCGTTATGTGCATCACACGATCGAGCCGACTGATACATAGAAGATGACGTTCTGTAAATCGCTCACTCCCTATCCCTCTTCACTCCCTCACTCTCTCTCTCTCTCTCCCTCTCTCTGTGTTGCACAAGTAAATTATTTCATTTGTTACAATGTCTGTTGCGAATGAC